TTAGTATTCTTTATTGTAATATTTACACTGTGTACTTTTTGCACTACATCAATAAATAAACTGCTGTGTTGTATCGGGAGCTGCTGCAGCGAGTACATTTCCCCAGTGAGGGATCAATAATCTTATTGTACTGATCCATAATCATTAGAAATCATCAAGCCAGAGGAGCAATCCAAGGGGGCCATGCTAATCTTATCTGTATAGTTACAATTTTAGTATATGTGCTACCGGAGTTACCCAGCAGGCCCCTGTCTCTTCGGGGGGATTTATAAGGGGTCTGTCCGGAGAGAGTCCGGACTCATGGTGCCACTTCTCAATGGGGGCGGTACCGACCCCCATTGAGAACCGCTCCTCTAAACGGCTCTCATAGCACTGATAACAACAGGAATCAAAGGTCTGGCTGTTGTACTGTCTTTGCTATTATTCTACTCAGTCTTTACTATCATATTACAGCTTATTCAAACTGCAGGACTCTACAGTCAACATGGTTTTGTATTCAAGTGATAAAAATTTGCTTTATTTTCACATTAGTTTGAGCTTTCTTCCTATTTTCTGCCTTTATTTTCACTCCAACTGTCAGCTGCAGTTCCATAAAGTCACCAGCAGGTGTCAGCCTATGAGCAGTGTATGGAGGAGGGCCTGTTGTAGTCTGAACATTGACAGTATGCTGTATATTACAGTCTGATGCACATTAATAACACACATTATTTATAGCGCCTTCTGTAGGTGCATTTATGTTCCTTCATGTCAGCTGTTGTATTCTTTAACAATAAATCAGACAGAAAACTCTCCATTATGTTTCTGGCTTTGGGAGGAAATCACATAAAAACCAGATTCTACTCACAAAATCACCCTCTCAGCCCCAAAAATAAAGAGTTTTTCTTTTAAATCGGGGGTTTAGAGACAGGAAGATAAATTGGGCAACAACTGAAACACCTCTGAGCTCTAATGTATCTGTTTATCTTGTCATCCTGTATGTCTTTCTGTATTAAACCCTTCTTCAGTATCAAGTTGTTTCTTCTTGAGACTCTTTAGTGGATGGCAGATATGTTATTATTGATTCTTTGAGTCTATTTGTAATTGATATTCAAAAGACATATTAAATATATTAAAAAGATATGATCACAAATGTTCATCACACAGCTCACAACCATCATTGAACCATCTTGTTGTCAGTGTTTACAGTTTATACACATATCTAACCAAGTCAGCACTGTTGTGGCAATGTTCAGGTCTCTGTAGTCAGTGATATTGACTGCAGACTTACATACACGTTTTGATTATGGGGAAACCCACACAGACATGGGTTAAACATTCAAACTCAGCAAGGGGTGTCTCTCTAATATAACAAAAACCTGTTTGGGCAGTGGTGTCCTCTTAGTGCATAAAAACCTGTATGTGTGTGTATGTCTTTGTTTGTGTGGACTAACCTGTTCTCTGTAAGATTTTTCTGAAATGGAGGACTTAATATAAAACATATACAATCTGCAGCCTGGGTTGAAAATAAAAATGAAAACCTTTGAGTTAACTTTGACTTTATTTTAATGTTCATTAAAGTTCTATAACTCATTTTTCTGATTCTGTTTCACCTGTGAAATCTGAAATGGCAACTTTAATTTAAATGTTAATAAAATGGTAAATATATGTTTGTCAAAGTCTAATAGAAACAATTGAGAATAAAAAGCTCTGATGAATGTGAAGGTTGGAGCTCCATCTGCTAGACACTGACATGCAAACACACAAGAGAGGTGCAGAGCAGAAGAGTCTGTTTGACTACAGCATTTAACAAGAGTCACAGTGAACTACAGGGAAACACTTTATTCATCTTTCATAATGATAAACACAGAAACCAAAGATCAAACACAGAACATACAATTAAAGATTCATCTGAATTCTGTCTGAAGTTGATGTCATCAGTTATAAAGCATCTATTCTTATTGGACATGTAACAAAACAGAGAAACATCAAAGCATTCATTGTCTATAAAGTCATTCTTTATCATTCTGATTCATCTGATGAGCAGTTTAAATGATATTCAGCTTGGATTCATATTTAATATTTGCTGTGATATTTGTGATTTGGGTGATGCAGAGAAAACAGGGTGAATGATATCTAAACATTTCATTTCACTCACAAACATCATTTTCTTTCTCATATTCAAAAGAAAACAAAGATCATCTCTAATGACCAAACAGAGCTTCCAGCTGCTGAAGTCTTTCTTTACTGAGCTGTTGTCTGGTTTTAATCCGTCAATAATTACACTAATAATTAGGAACAAATACATCATATCATAAAGACTTTCTACAGACTGAAACTTGTTTACAATAATCAACTTATACATTATCATTATCATTATCTCTACAATATAATGCAGATTTTATAAAACTTTAGAGGACACAAACTTAAAACAAAACCACACCAATGATTGTACAGAGTCAGTGAGTTATTAACTGTTTAAAGCCTCATTTATCACGAGACAGAACAGACTGAAATCAACATTTTGTCATTTAAAGAATCCAACTCAAACATCCAGAAATCTCTCAGACTGAACACTGGAGCTGAGCCAGAGGGAGATATTATCAGATGCTCTTATTGACTTCACAGAACAAACTGAAACAACACATAAAAACAAGTAAACAAAAAGTTTCTCTTCAATAAAGTTTTAATCTGCAAAAGCTTGTCTGAGATCAGCTGTGAGGTTTCTGCACCTCCACATCAATATGATCACAGTCTGAGCACAAACATGTAGAGATTCTTTATATTCTGCACTCGGCTTTAGTTTCAGTTACTGATGAAGCCTGCAGCATCACTACTGTTACTATGGTTACCTGCTGATGAAAAAAAAATCCTACAGCAGACGTCTATCCGACAGTGCTGTAGCAATATTTAAGGAGGAGATTCTATCAGTGTTTAATTCAATGCCATGTCTGAATATAACAGAGTCCTATCATTACTGTAGTCCCTTCCAAATTGATCATCTTGCTGCAGGCTCACTACGAACAACATTAGATTCTATTGCCCATAAAAATATGAAAATATTATAACAGGAGGCTAACAACCTGCCAATTAAAGCAAAAACATGGAAATCTGAAAGGAAATGGCTTTCTTCCAAACTATTAAAATATTGCTCAATTTGGCAAGATAGTCCTAAAAAGTATATAGAAAGGCCCTCTGTAATGCCAGAGGAGCCTATTATTCAGCACTAATAGAAGAAAACAAGAAGAACCCTAGGTCACAGCTCCACTGAGCCACGTATCTCCATAACCCTCAGTAGTAACGACTTTATGAGCTTCTTTTATGATTAAATTAATCACCTAATGCTCTCAACAGGTATCGCTGTCTCTCCAATTTCAGGAACTTTAACAAATGTAAAATCAGATATATATTCGGAATGTTTTTTCTGCTATCGAGCTGCATCAACTAATTTCAATAATTTCTACTTCCAAGCCATCAACCTGTCTATTAGACCCGATCCCAACTAGGCTGCTTAAAGAAGTTGTTCCCTTAATTGGCACTTCTTTACTGGATATGATTAATCTTTCTTTATTATCAGGATATGTACCACAGTCCTTTAAAGTAGCTGTAATTAAACCCCTTCTTAAAAAGTCCACTCTTGACCCAGGGGTTTTAGCCAACTATAGACCGATCTCTAACCTCCCCTTCCTCTCTAAGATTCTGGAGAAAGTTGTCGCCAAAGAGTTGTGTGACTTTCTACATAACAATAGTTTATTTGAGGGTTTTCAGTCAGGATTTAGAGTTCATCACAGCAAAGAGACAGCTCTGGTTAAAGTTAATTTTTAATCTGTGTAATATTACATAAAATTAGACACATCCTGTCTCAGACAAATGCAGAAAAACTAGTTCATGCATTTGTTACTTCAAGGCTGGATTACTGCAACTCTTTATTATCAGGTTGCCCCAATAAGTCCATTAAAACGCTCCAATTAATTCAGAACGCTGCAGCACGAGTACTGACAGGAACTAGAAAAAGAGATCACATCTCTCCTGTACTAGCTTCTCTGCATTGGCTCCCTGTAAAATGTAGAATAGAATTTAAAATCCTCCTCCTCACCTATAAAGCTCTTCATGGTCAGGCCCCTTCATATCTTAAAGAGCTCATAGTACCCTATTACCCCTCTAGAACACTACGTTCTCTGAATGCTGGGCTACTTGTGGTTCCTATAGTCTCTAAAAGTAGAACAGGAGCCAGAGCCTTCAGTTACCAAGCTCCTCTCCTGTGGAACCAGCTTCCAGTTGTGGTTCTGGAGGCAGACACCCTCACCACATTCAAGAGTAGGCTTAAGACATTCCTCTTTGATAAAGCTTATAGTTAGGGCTGGATCAGGTGAGTCCTGAACCATCCCTTAGTTATGCTGCTATAGGCCTAGACTATCGGGGGATTTCCCATGATGCACTGAGCTCCTCTCTTCCTCTCTCTTTCTGCACTCATTCATGTTCCATTAATGCATGTTACTAACTTCACTTCTTCCCCGGAGTTCTTGTGCTTTCTCGTCTCGCAGGTTCTTATTGATCCTGGTGGAGCCTCCTGCCATGGTCCTGCTTTACTGCCATTGCTAATATCACTGATATTATTATTATTACTACAGTTACAATTATTACTATTATCATTGCTCATTGTCCCCCATCGATGTGGCTGTCGTCGTCGTTGTCATCATCTTCTTCATGTTCATCATCACCATCAGTCACTACTATTAGTGTAGTTGTTGCTACTGTTGTTGCTGTGCACCTGCTGCCACCCACCTAGAGCCGGGTTTTGTCCAAGGTTTCTACCTCTTAAAAATAAGTTTTTCCTTGCCGTTGTTGCCAAGTGCTTGCTCATGGTGCGAACTGTCAGGTCTTTGTAAATAATTTTATAAGGAGTTCAGTCTAGACCTGCTCTATTAGAAAAGTGTCCTGAGATAACTTGTGATATGAATTGGCGCTATACAAATAAAATGTAATTGAATTTAATTGAATGGTTACAGTGTAGTCCACTGCTGAATATTACTATGGAATATTTCCTTCTTTAAAGTTTCACTGATTGAAACTAAATGAAAGTAGAAAAAAGGAAACTTCTGAAACTGATCTGTTGTTGTGAAGTTTACCTCGAACAAATCTCATAAAATGTGACAGCTTGATGTGTCGACTTGTGTCATCAGTTCCTGTATCAACTTATTTATTTCTATTTCATGTTTTTGTTGCAGCTTCTTCTTTATTTCCTCATTTTGTTCTCTCTTCATTTCTTTTTTTGTGTTTTTCAGTAAGTCTTTGATTTTTCTCATGTTTTCTTTCTTTTTGGTCACACATTTCACTACTTCACACATTTCCTCTTGATGTTTTTTCTTTATGTGTTCTTCATTGTGGTCTTTGAGAGCCTTTAAGAAGTTATATTGTAGATCTTTGTCTTTCATTTGTTTCTCATGTTCTTCCTTCAGAGCTGCAGATTCCTTTTTGTATTTCTCTTTGAATTCATTGAACTCTTCAGCCTTCTTTCTAGCTTCTTCTTCATATGTCTTCTTCAGATCCTCTAGTTTTTTCTTATAGTTCTCCTCAATCTCTTTTTTTTCATTTTCCTCTTTTTCACTTCTGATTTGATCCTCTTCTTTTCTTTTCTTTCTATCATTTTCTCTTTCCTGTTCGTATTCTTCTTGAAGCTTTTTCATTCTTGTTTGTTCCTCCTGTTGTCTCTGTTCATCTTCCTGATTTTGTTTTTCCCACCATTCTTTTTGTTGTTTCTCCCAGTTCTCTCGTTCTTTTCTCATCTCTTCTCTGCTCTCCTCCAGCTTTCTATCAATGGTTTCCTTTGATTCTGACTCTGATTTAATTTTTTCCTCCAAAGCTTCAACTTTCTGTTTCCACTCCTGTTGTTGAATTTCTTCCTGTTGTTTTCGCCTCCTGTCTTCTTCTTCTCTCATTTCCTGTTCTTTCTTTCTCTTGTCATGTTCCTTTTTGATGTTTTCCTCCTTTTCTTTGAGTTGCTTTTCTCTTAATTTTCTCTCCTTTTCAAGTTCTGCTGTCTGTTTTTTTTTCTCTTTTTCCTCTTGTATTTTTCTGATCCGATCCTCTTCTTCTCTTTTCTTTTCATAGTTTTCTCTTTCCTGTTCATATTTCTCTTGAAGTTTTCTAAGTTTTGTTTGTTCCTCCTGTCGTATCTGTTCATTTTCCTGATATCGTTCTTCCCACCATTCATTTTGTTGTTTCTCCCAGTTCTCTCGTTCTTTTCTCATCTCTTCTCTGGTCTCCTCCAGCTTTCTATCAATGGTTTCCTTTGATTCTGACTGTGATTTTATTTTTTCCTCCAAAGCTTCAACTTTCTGTTTCCACTCCTGTCGTTGAATTTCTTCCTGTTGTTTTCTCTTCCTGTCTTTTTCCTCTCTCATTTCCTGTTCTTTCTTTCTCTCCTCACGTTCCTTTTTGATGTTTTCCTCCTTTTCTTCAAGAAGTTTTTCTCTCAGTTTTCTCTCCTTTTCAATTTCTGCTCTCTGCTTTTCTTTCTCTTTTTCCTCTTGTATTTTTCTGATTCGATCCTCTTCTTCTCTTTTCTTTTCATAGTTTTCTCTTTCCTGTTCGTATTCTTCTTGAACCTTTCTAAGTCTTGTTTCTTCCTCTTGTTGCCTCTTTTCGTCTTCTTGTTTTCGTTTTTCCCACCATTCTTTTTGTTGTTTCTCCCAGTTCTCTCGTTCTTTTCTCATCTCTTCTCTGCTCTCCTCCAGCTTTCTATCAATGGTTTCCTTTGATTCTGACTCTGATTTTATTTTTTCCTCCAAATCTTCAACTTTCTGTTTCCACTCCTGTCGTTGAATTTCTTCCTGTTGTTTTCTCTTCCTGTCTTCTTCTTCTCTCATTTCCTGTTCTTTCTTTCTCTCCTCACGTTCTTTTTGATGTTTTCCTCCTTTTCTTCAAGTTGTTTTTCGATCATTTTTCTCTCCTTTTCAATTTCTGCTCTCTGTTTTTCTTTTTCTTTTTCCTCTTGTTCTCTTCTGATTCGATCCTCTTTTTTTCTTTTCTTTTCATATTTTTCTCTTTCCTGTTCATATTCTTCTTGAAGTTTTCTAAGTTTTGTTTGTTCCTCCTGTTTTTTCTTTTCATTTTCTTGATTTTGTTTTTCCCACCATTCTTTTTGTTGTTTCTCCCAGTTCTCTCGTTCTTTTCTCATCTCTTCTCTGCTCTCCTCCAGCTTTCTATCAATGGTTTCCTTTGATTCTGACTCTGATTTTATTTTTTCCTCCAAAGCTTCAACTTTCTGTTTCCACTCCTGTCGTTGAATTTCTTCCTGTTGTTTTCTCTTCCTGTCTTCTTCTTCTCTCATTTCTTGTTCTTTCTTTCTCTCCTCATGTTCCTTTTTGATTTTTTCCTCCCTTTCTTCAAGTTGTTTTTCTCTCAGTTTTCTCTCCTTTTCAATTTCTGCTCTCTGTTTTTCTTTCTCTTTTTCCTCTTGTTCTCTTCTGATTTGATCCTCTTCTTTTCTTCTCCTTTCATAGTTTTCTCTTTCCTGTTCGTATTCTTCTTGAAGTTTTTTCAGTTTTGTTTGTTCCTCCTGTCGTTTCTTTTCATCTTGTTGATATCGTTTTTCCCACCATTCTTTTTGTTTTTTCTCTTCATTCTCTCGTTCTTTTCTCATCTCTTCTCTAATCTCATCCAGCTTTCTATCAATGGTTTCCTTTGATTCTGACTCTGATTTTATTTTTTCCTCCAAAGCTTCAACTTTCTGTTTCCACTCCTGTCGTTGAATTTCTTCCTGTTGTTTTCTCGTCCTGTCTTCTACTTCTCTCATTTTCTGTTCTTTCTTTCTCTCCTCACGTTCCTTTTTGATTTTTTCCTCTTTTTCTTCAAGTTGTTTTTCTCTCAGTTTTCTGTCCTTTTCAATTTCTGCTCTCTGCTTTTCTTTTTCTTTTTCCTCTTGTTCTCTTCTGATTCGATCCTCTTCTTCTCTTTTCTTTTTATCATTTTCTCTTTCCTGTTCGTATTCTTCTTGAAGTTTTCTAAGTTTTGTTTCTTCCTCCTGTTGTTTCTTTTCATTTTCTTGATTTTGTTTTTCCCACCATTCTTTTTGTTGTTTCTCCCAGTTCTCTCGTTCTTTTTTCATCTCTTCTCTGCTCTCCTCCAGTTTTCTATTAATGATTTCCTTTTGCTCTGACTCTGATTTTATTTTTTCCTCCAAATCTTCAACTTTCTGTTTCCACTCCTGTCGTTGAATTTCTTCCTGTTGTTTTCTCTTCCTGTCTTCTTCTTCTCTCATTTCCTGTTCTTTCTTTCTCTCCTCACGTTCCTTTTTGATGTTTTCCTCCTTTTCTTCAAGTTGTTTTTCTTTCAGTTTTCTCTCCTTTTCAATTTCTGCTCTCTGTTCTTCTTTCTCTTTTTCCTCTTGTTCTCTTCTGATTCGATCCTCTTCTTTTCTTTTCTTTCTATCGTTTTCTCTTTCCTGTTCGTATTCTTCTTGAAGCTTTTTCAGTCTTGTTTGTTCCTCCTCTTGTCTCTGTTCATTGTCTTCATTTTGTTTTTCCCACCATTCTTTTTGTTGTTTCTCCCAGTTCTCTCGTTCTTTTCTCATCTCTTCTCTGCTCTCCTCCAGCTTTCTATCAATGGTTTCCTTTGATTCTGACTCTGATTTTATTTTTTCCTCCAAAGCTTCAACTTTCTGTTTCCACTCCTGTTGTTGAATTTCTTCCTGTTGTTTTCTCTTCTGGTCTTCTTCTTCTCTTATTTCCTGTTCTTTCTTTCTCTTCTCACGCTCTTTTTTTATGTTTTCCTCCTTTTCTTCAAGTTGTTTTGCTCTCAGTTTTCTCTCCTTTTCTATTTCTGCTCTCTGTTCTTCCATTCTTCTTTTCATTTCTTTCATTTCTCCCTCTTGTTTTATTTCAAGCTCCTCCCTCTCTCTATTCATCTCTTCTTCCTTCTCCTTCAGGATTCTCTCCATTTCTTTCTTTATCGATGCTTCAGCCTCTTGCAGCAGCTCATTAGTGTAGCAGCTGCCTCCATTTTCCTTCACCATGGTGTCAATCTTGGTTATCAGCTCACTGACCTGTGTGCGGTTGTGTTTATCATAGTTATGAAACACATGGTATCTTCCTCCACAGTCAGAGATCAGCTTCTTAAAGGAATCATCACACTTCTTGTCAATGTATTCTTCAATGGACACTTTGTCACGTTCCAGTGAATCTCCTCCAGTTAAAAGAATGATGGTAAACTTCTCAGAATTCTTCCCAAATCCTTCCTTGATAAGTTTTAATGTCTCCTTCTCCTCTGGTGTAAATCTGCCAATTTGTAACACCAACAGGAAGACATGTGGTCCTGGAGCCAGAAGACTGATGCATTTCACCATCTCCTCATGAACTTCTTCATGAGACAAACTATTGTCAAACAGACCAGGAGTGTCGACCACAACCACCTGACGACCATCGACTTCACTCTGTTCTTTCTGACAACGTTTAGTGACTGATGTTTGGCTTGATTCAGCTTTAAACTCTTTTCTTCCTAGAATGGTGTTTCCTGAAGAGCTCTTTCCACAGCCAGTCTTCCCTATCAGCACAATCCTGAGACACTCTGGACTCCGTTCTTCATCATCACCTGTGAAATATAAAGACCAGGAGTTAATTTAAATATTCAGAATTGTTACAGTATAAACTAAGACTGAATTGTAGCAAATAATGTAACACATTTTACACAAACAGAAAATAAAATTTATAAGCAAAGTACTTACCAGTGATCTTGTTCTTCTTTATCAGCCTCTCAAGTTGTATGACTTTATCCATTTGTGCATGTGCAAATGTTTCAGTCGTGTAGCAGTGTGGTTTATTTTTAGTATTTTTTTCCACCATGTCCAACAGTTCTGGGATCTGCTGCTTGTCCTTGATGTTGAGAACAACATATCTTCCTCCACAGCTCTGACAGAGCTCCTGGATGTCTCTGTTTTCTTTCACAAAGTCAACAACAGCTGGAGCTGTAGGATCTGAGTCCACAGTGAACAGAATGATGGTGAAGTCATTGACTCGAGAGCTGAATGTGTTCTGGATGGTCTCTAACTCTTTCTTGTCTTCATCAGTGAGGGGACCCACAGGTAGGACCAGGATGAAGGCATGGACACCCTCAGGATCACAGAGGGAGATACTCCTGAGTGATTCCTCCATCACTGCCTCCTGAGGTTTTCCATACAAGGCAGGCAGCTCCACCAGGGAAACCCAACGTCCACACACCTCTCCCTGATGTTTAACACACTCTGATGAGTTGGAGACTGAATGAAACTCTGTCTGACCTAAAATAGCCTTGGCTGCTGAAGTCTTCCCTGCTCCTCTCCTCCCACACAGAACCAGGTTTAAAGCTGGTTTGATGAGTTTAGTGAAGGTGAGGAAGGTTCCTTTGTTTTCATGCACAATGTTCTCAATCTTCTGCATTAACAATGTGTGGTCATCTTCAGCCATGTTGTAGTGTCTTCCTCCACAGTCTTTAAGGAGTTCATTAACAGTTTTACTCTTTTTCGCCTCATGTGTCATGATGACCATTGAGTGTTTTAAAGCATCTTGACCAAACAAACTCAGGATGAACTTCAGTGTTTGTCTGTTCTCCTCAGTGAAATCAGAAGGTTTCACTAACAGCAGAAGGACATTTGGACACAGAGTCACACAGCTCTTCATCTCTCTTCTCACGGCCTCCACAGACAGACTGAAGATGTTTGGAGTTTTCACCACTGTTAATGGTTTTCCTCTCCACTCTCCATTGGCTACCACACAGTGTGTGATTGGGGACAGTTTTTGGTGATGAAAAGCTTGGTTCCTGATGAGGAAGTTTCCAAGTGTTGTCTGTTTGTCCTCACTTTTTCCCAGCAGCACAATCCTGAGTCCAGATGCTGTAATACAACAGAGAGAAAGATAAAAAAATTTAAAAAACTCACTATGAGGCTCTTTTAGAAAAGATGGTATAGCAGTCAAAAATATTTATTTGAAATTATTGTATGGCAGTGATCGTTGCCATTAAATATTATTTAACAGAGTAGGCGGTGTGTGGGATGGGAATATATGTTAGTGTAACCAATGTATTATAGTAGTTATTTCAGCAATTATCCATCCCTGTTCATGTTTGAACATTTTATTTTTCTTGTATAAAATGGTTTCTGTGTATATTCCTTTTGGGCCAGCTTTAATTTTGTTAATTGTTTTTCTGTTGTGTGACTTACGACACTTCACTGTCACTTCCTGTGAGTGTGATCTTCTGCAGTCGTCTGCAGGTGCTGTTGTGAACAGGTAAGACTACACAGTGCTCTTGTCCACATTGTGTCAAAACATGGTAAAAACACTCTCTTGGTACAGCTCACCAATATTCTTTCTTTCAGTGTGTATATGTCATTTTTATTTTGTGTAGCACTTTAATGTTCCATGCAAACAGTCTCAAGCTAGGCTAATTGAGCAGGTAGTTTCTCAGGCAGTTCGCTCTCTATCCTTAAATAGTGTGCATGTAGAAATGTGAAGTTGCTGTGCTGATATTATTGTGTTATACACAGGTATGCGAGTCCCCCCGTGGAATGGAGTGTCGGGCCAGACCAGCTTTTAGCTTTAAACTCCACATGAAATGGGAATCAAAGTTCTATTTGCTTCTGCATATTAACGTGTTCTTGCAAAAACAGGCAGCTGGGGAGTGACTTGTGGTGGCCCACAGCACTGTGTGCTACGTCTCCCAGTCCTGCAGCTATAGTGGTCCTATTAGCTGACTCTGCCGGACTGGGAGTTCCCACTGAACTACATGTCCAGAATAGGACCAAATAGAGCTTTGGATGCCGACGGAGGACAATTTGATGACAGGGAAAGAAGTATTGTGGTGTTTTGTTTTTATTGCTGATTGGTTGGCTAACATTAGCTGCATGAGATAAACTAGCTAACGGCATTACACGTGCGGTCCGCACATGTAACAACGGCACGGTGCGGACCACAAGATGAACATTTCTCGTAAATCAGCTCAAAATCGCCACACAGCGCTTACTTTCTGTTGCCAGTAGGTGCCACTATCACTATGTCTGAATATTGTCATGTAGACATGTTCAGGGCGGGACTCTTATCAAACACGTTAAGTTTCATTGAGATTAGACCACGTACGATGAAGTTATGAGTACTGTTTTATGGCGAATCTGCTGAATACGACAAGTCGTCACTGGCATGCAGTTTGACGTACAGTCACAAATAGCGCAACTTGTCATCTACAGTTTGTTTTGATTGTACTGTCCAATTTTAAAATTGATCTGATATATTCCCTAGGACGGAGTTAGTTTAAATAAAACATGACAAATTGCCAAAAATGTCAAAAAATTAAAAAGGGCCGACTTCGACACGTGCCTACCTAGTTTCATACATATCTGTGAAACGTGGCGCCAGGGCTTTTTTTAAAAAATACTGTAGGGGGCGCTACAAACACGACAAACATGATATTTGGTACGTGAGCTACAGGCACAATTCTATACGCGTCCTGTGAATTTCATATTCATAACTATTACGGTCTCCGCAGAGTGAATTACCCTACCACCAGAGCGCCACCCAGTGGCATGGTTTTTTTCTCCTTTTTAAGTGAGCTTCAGGGAGCCATGGGCAATCATTGTACCAAGTTTCGTTTTAATCACATGTGCCGATGTGGAGATGTAAACTTCTTCATTTTAAAGAGCGCCACCTTGTGGCGATGGCCTGAAATTGTGCACAATGCCTAAGGAAGACATGTGGAACTACATAAATAACTAACTAGATGCTACGCACAAAAGCGCATAGGAGGAACACGAAAAAGTAGTTTATGGACATTTCGCGCTCTAGCGGAAAAAAGTGATAAGTGGAAATGGGCGTGGCCTATATGGGGAGATGCAGCTCCATTCACTGAACGTGTTCCCTGGGAGGCTGCTGACCTCAATCTGCAAATATGTGATTAACACTGTGATAGATTTACTTACTGTGAGTCAAGCGATTTTTCTCTGAGCGTGGGACTTTTTTGACCAAATTCAGCCCTGTAAAAAGATGTAATGAAATCAGTAATCAACAGCTGAATGTTCTAAATTCAAGGATTTGTGTGAACAAAGTTTTCATTTACCACCACTTAAACTTAGATATATATTTAGACTGTTTTTCTGCTATCGATCTTCATCAGTTAACTTCAATCATTTCTTCATCAAGCCATCAACCTGTCTATTAGACCCGATCCCAACTAGGCTGCTTAAAGAAGTTGTTCCTTTAATTGGCACTTCTTTACTGGATATGATTAATCTTTCTTTATTGTCAGGATATGTACCACAGGCCTTTAAAGTAGCTGTAATTAAACCCCTTCTTAAAAAGTCCACTCTTGACCCAGGGGTTTTAGCCAACTATAGACCGATCTCTAACCTCCCCTTCCTCTCTAAGATTCTGGAGAAAGTTGTCGCCAAAGAGTTTGTGACTTTCTACATAACAATAGTTTATTTGAGGATTTTCAGTCAGGATTTAGAGTTCATCATAGCACAGAGACAGCTCTGGTTAAAGTTAATAATGACCTTTTGATTGCTTCTGACAATGGACTTGTCTCTGTACTTGTATTATTAGATCTTAGTGCTGCATTTGACACCATTGACCATGATGTTCTTTTACAGAGACTTGAGCATCAAATTGGCATTAAAGGAACCGCACTAAGCTGGTTTAAGTCATATTTATAAGATCGCTCGCAGTTTGTACATGTTAACGATGAATCTTCAATAAATACTATTCAATTCAATTAAATTTTATTTGTATAGCGCCAATTCATAACAGAACTTATCTCAGGACACTTTTCAAATAGAGCAGGTCTAGACCGAACTCTTTATAACATTATTTACAGGGACCCAACAGTACCACCATGAGCAAGACCTTGGCGACAAGGGCAAGGGAAAACTGCCTGTTAAAAGGCAGAAACCTAGGACAGATCCTTCGGCTCTAGGTGGGTGGTCGTCGTCGGTGTCTCGACCAGTTGGGGTGAGAGAGACAGAGAGAGAGAGAGAAAGAGACAGAGAGAGAGAGAGAGAGAGAGAGAGAGAGACAGACAGACAGACAGACAGGTGCACAGCAACAACAGTATGGGCAATGGCAATCTAGCAGGACTACGGCAGGAGGCTCCACCAGGATCGATAAGAACCTGCGAGACGAGAAAGCACAAGAACTCCGGGGAAGAAGTGAAGTTAGTAACATGCATTAATAATACTACAGTTAGTCATGGAGTTCCACAAGGTTCTGTACTTCCAATACTGGACCAATACTATTTACTTTTATATATGCTCCCTTTAGGCAACATTATTAGGAATCACTCCATTAACTTTCACTGTTATGCAGATGATACGCAGTTATATCTATCAATCAAGCCCAATGAAATTAATCAATTATCTAAATTACAAACATGTCTTAAGGACATAAAATCCTGGATGAGCTGCAATTTTCTGATGTTAAACTCAGAAAAAAACGAAATTCTTGTTCTTGGCCCCAAAAACCTTAGAGACTCACTGTCTAAAGATATAGTTACTCTAGATGGCATTACCTTGGCCTCTAGCACCACTGTCAGGAATCTTGGAGGATTTGTCATTTGACTGCCTTCTTTCATTTACGTAATATTACAAAAATTAGACACATCCTATCACAGACAGATGCAGAAAAACTAATCTATGCATTTGTTACTTCAAGGCTGGATTACTGCAACTCTTTATTATCAGGTTGTCCCAATAAGTCCATTAAAAACGCTCCAATTAATTCAGAACGCTGCAGCACGAGTACTGACAGGAACTAGAAAAAGAGATCACATCTCTCCTGTACTAGCTTCTCTGCATTGGCTCCCTGTAAAATGTAGAATAGAATTTAAAATCCTCCTCCTCACCTATAAAGCTCTTCATGGTCAGGCCCCTTCATATGTTAAAGAGCTCATAGTACCCTATTACCTCTCTAGAACACTACGTTCTCTGAATGCTGGGCTACTTGTGGTTCCTATAGTCTCTAAAAGTAGAACAGGAGCCAGAGCCTTCAGTTACCAAGCTCCTCTCCTGTGGAACCAGCTTCCAGTTGTGGTTCTGGAGGCAGACACCCTCTCCACATTCAAGAGTAGGCTTAAGACATTCCTCTTTGATAAAGCTTATAGTTAGGGCTGGATCAGGTGAGTCCTGAACCATCCCTTAGTTATGCTGCTACAGGCCTAGACTATCAGGGGATTTCCCATGGTGCACTGAGCT